AAATCCAATCTACAATTACTAGTAATATTTATACCATTTCGTGTTAGAAAACATATATGCAGTCCGAAATACTTCTTACCTGCCAGCTAGAATCTGTGTGGCGATAATATGCAAAGTTATTCATTATCCAACCATATATATCTGATAATGTAACTTTCGGTTTGCCAAGTTCGCGCATTGCCAAGCAAATAAGTGTGGCATAAGAAAAAGGCGGCTTGCCAGTCCATTTCGTTCGATATTCTAATCGTACTTGAGGATCTAACAAGCTACCTGTAATAGGTTGATTTCCGCTGCAGGAATATTTATTGTAATTATCTGTTAAACATAGAATTTAACTTTCATAACAAACAAACCATAGAGAGATAAACACACGTTTGATTCCTTTCCTTCAAAATGAGCAGTAGCTTCCGGATTCATTGAAACTGGGTTAGCATCCTGACAAAGAAACTCAAATGAGAAAATAATACTTACATATAACCAAGTCAAACTAGTTAAAGAGTCATCCGTTTGGTCAAAATTCGACAGTTTCTGCATCCAATTTTTTCTCAGTTTTTCGGCTAGTAACTTGAGGTTTTTACCATACAAGTCAAATGACTGAGGATGAATATTTAATGACATGGATAGCAAAACGTTAAGAAATGACGAACGTAAGAAAAGTGTATCTGAGTCACGAAAAACAGAATTTCTGAAGAATCTTCGACTAGTTGAAATATAAATGTGATGACGTGTTCCAGCTGCCTGCTGACTACAACGTTTATAGAGGTGGCGCGAAAGGTTGGAAAGTCTTCATATAAAGCGCTATTTCGAAGTTGCATCGACTATACTCTTGATAATGTGAAACATTAAAACAAATTAATGGAATGATTACTTATAAAAGCATTGTGCCGAACAAATTCACAATGTCATTCGAGAAAACGTACACTCATAAAACTCGTAAATTAAGTCGTGGGTTAAATTTATCTTTCACGAATTGATCTATAGAATGGACGAGTTAGTATTACGAAACGGAACGATATTTTGGTACTTCAGTTGGATTTTACTGGAATTAAGAGTTTAGCAAATTATAGCATGAAAACCAGAAATCGGAAAGCGTGTGAAATATTACATTCGTGACAGTCCAAATAATGTATACAGTTTAAACCATTCTTCTTAGGGAATTTTCTTTGTAGAAAGAAGCAATGTTGGTTGAGCCGGAGTGTACCGACCACTAACGTTTATTTGTCTTTTTAGGCGTCTTTTTAGATTTTACTTCTAGGGATCAATCCTATAGTACGTATCACCAGGACGTCAAACAAACTTGACCCTGGGCAACCAACCGCGATGATGAACAGTGCGGCCTGGTCCTGAGCGTGAAGCGAGTGTGTGGCTGTCCGTCTGGCTGGATTCTCACGAAGTCTGTTCGTGCGGACTCGGCCGCAAGCACACTATACATACACACGAAAGACATGGATCTAATCAAATCCTAACTCTCGGAAAATATATTTAAGCATATATGCTCCACTTTGTGTTTTCTGCCAAAAGATTCATTGGGCCCATACCGACCTGCTCTTCACACCAGATTTCTCTAAGGAAAGCATGGTATTGTTGCTACTAACTTCTTATCTGTCCTTTGTGCATCAGCTAATACTGTCTAGTCCTGTTGCTTTACCATTCCTGCTATCCATTTGCTTTACTGGTTTCGTACTTTGTTTACGGGGTATCATCCATAGGGATGATGTATATATTTTGCTTTGATGTTCAATGGAACTGCTAGATAAAACTTTGATATGCTCTGGCCACTCGTTCCTCAGTGACTGAATTTCTTTTTCTGACACTCTGGTTTACTATAGTTCCGACCTCAATTCTCAATTAGTTCATATTTCTTTCTCCTGCAGTTTGTTCGGTTGTATCTGCGATGTATTCGACTAGTTCCTGCTCAACAGTTCCAATGCTCTTCCCAACTTATTATTTGCCATGGCATAGTCAGCCTGTGCCTTAGCTTCTTATACTTTGCCCAGGTTGCTGTTGCCCGTCATCTTGTTTTTCCTTTTTGCAATTTCTCAGGAACTTCATAGAGATCCATCCCTTATTCTTTTGCTTCTTTAAGCAAAGCGGCCCCAACATTTTGGGTTTATCGCATCTTTAATCGTCTTCCAGTTTTACTTTAGAGTTTTTTCTTCCTCTCCTAGTTAATTCTGTTGGTTTTGGAGTTTACTTCTGAGAGCTCGATTGAGCTTATTGAGCATGTTAACACTAGCTTCTCAAAGTAAGTGATCTCTGCGGATGATTGTAGCATACTAGAGTTGGACGGGAATGATGTAACTTCTAGCTTATTTTAAAGCTGCACATTTGGGTTAATACTTGAGGGGGATTATTCTTTCGTATTGCTTACGTTCCGAGACGACCTTGACGACTGCGTAAGTCAATCATTATATTGTTGAAGAAATGTACTAGTAAGACAAAAGAAATATATAGTAAAATCACTACTGTATGGTCTAGTTCATATCACTAAAGTGATCAACCCTTTTCATCCAAGATGTCTGATAGATTTTCCAATGATCAGTGACCCATCGTCTAACTCAGGAATGAATAAGTCTAATGAGTAATTTAGCTATGAATCAGTGACGTTCTACTAGCCCTACAACACCTGGAAGGAATGCTGTGCTAAACGTTTTTAGTACTGCTTACCCATCTGACTATTGTTTCTTTAGCTTCATTTTTACCCTGGAAACTAGATAGCGATCTAAAGTCACATCATTTCCTCGCTTAGAGCTTACTTCTTTCATAGATTTTCTAAATATTTTCTTCACTTATATGTGATTGGATTGCTATTAGCTTCATTCGTCCCAAGCAGTGATAGGTTGCGTTTTCTTACTCCACCGTTTATTTGAAAGACCATTTTCGTCTGTCAGATTGCTTGAATACTCAGTGTTCGGGTGTGGATTGTAATATTTATTGTCAGAAGTGATTTCATCTTCATGAGCTTCGAAGAATCTTGGCTCTCACTATGTAGTGTGATGACTCTTCTATATGGACTTGAACTTTTAGGGTAGAGTTCAAATGAATCTAAGAATTTTTCCACTGAGGTAGGAAAAGACACACCTTCTATTAATACTATAACAGGAATTACTCCAAACTAAACAGACGAAAACATAATCGTTATTAATGGCTCCTATGTACTCAGATGACTTGACAACGTGGAGTTTATCGACAGCCGAATCGGCGAACATGGGACTGGGAAGAATTCAGGCTACGTGTTCTCGCTCACATGCTAAATGTTATTTATCGGCCGCTAACGATATTTTTTCCGTCACACATCAATTTTGCGCTTGTTACACAGCTTTTATTCCAGTTAATTAGTAGTTTGACGTAGGTGTTTCTCACTACTTGGATGAATGTTCGGTCAACCCAATGTGGTTGTGTATAACAATACAAACTCATTCAGTGAAATTAATCAATAATTCATTCAAAAATAGACCGTGGTCAGATTTTCTAGGCAAAAGTCCTTCAATGTAGGCTCTTCCGATCATTGTGAAGCGAAATTCACGAAGTATTGGTTTGTTCGTTCACTAATTGGGAACGTGAGCTGGGCTTAGACAGTAATGAGACAGGTTAGTTCTACCTTAATAATGAGTACATCAACGAAGTGCAGTCTGGCCGTTGCTATGATAATCCTATTTAGTACGAGAGGATCTGCAGGTTCAGATTATTGGTATATCTACCTGGTCGACAGGCCAGTGGCGCGAAGCTACCATCTGAGAGATCAAGGCTGAAAACCTCTAAGTCTGAATACTGTCCATATTTGCAAAGGTGCATATATCCGGAAAGCTCAGAGAAAATATGAAATGCAGTTAACACAATCTGCGACCAAGCAGCCTAAGAGACTATTCTCGCACAAAAATTAAAGAATAAGGATTAAGGATTTGATCCTGAACCCAATAAAGTAAGAAAGTGAATATGAAATAATAAAGGATCTTGGGGTGATAGTGAGTCACGATCTTAAGAACATGGCCCACTGCCTGGAGGTTGCAGCTATGGGGTTTGGAATCCTATGGGCTATAAGATGGACATTCACCAAGCAAGATACTGCCATGTTCACTACAGTATACACAACCTTATTAAGAACCAAGCTTGAAAACTGAGTTCGGGCTACAAGCCCCTGTTTAAAATGTGTCTTGGATAACTTGAAAAAAATACAGAGGTCAGCTACCCATGCAATTTCAGAACTCTGGGGTTTATCATTCTAAGATTTCTTTATTCTATCCTATCGCAGATTAGGTGGTGATCTGATTTTGATGTATAGAGTACTAAGAAATGATTTCGGACCTAAAATATCTCTTTTTCTTCCCACTAGATTGCGACATCTGAAAGGACACAGCAGGCGAATAGAAAAACAAAGAACAAACAAAATACCAGTGACATACAGACTTCCAACATCGAGTCATCAATTCTTGGAATCTGTTACCCGGAGAAGTAGTGCCGCACCTTCAATTGACTTGTTCAAGTGAAGACTAGACAATCATAGAAGCATGCTAGGAAAGAAATATTATGGGCCATAGGACTTCTGTACTTAATGCATAAATCTGAATCTGAGAAACGAGCCCTAAAACCTTCCAAATTTGATTCACTTTCTTAATTAGGGTGGTGATGAAGATGGATATTGGCACTTAATTATAAAATGTAAGTTGGAGCAATTCTGCGTTAAACATTTTTGAAATTTGTATAAGTTGCTAGTATACGGTCAGAGACAGCCCTATCTATTATAAGTACCTGAAGTTTGTGCTGATGATGTCGTTCAGAAGAACGATGAAAGCTTCACGACCATCCAGCTCAGAGAACAAAACTTAATCGAAATCAACATTTTTAACTGAACTGACATATCATAAAACAAAGAAAGCCAAATAGGTGTTTTGGGATTTTTGCTGCAGCAAAAGACTACCTAATTATGAGAACTCTTAATATTCGTGCAACCCAGCGGACACCTAATAAACCTAAAGCAATTTAAATGGCCGCAACTTACTAAGATTTTCAAGGTCGTCGTAACGAAACGGAGGGCGAGTTTGAGTGAACCTGACTTTCGCCGTCCGGGTAAACTTAGATGATTTAATCATGCGCCAGAATCCATGGCTTAATTAGCCTTATTGGTTCATTCATAGTCTCGCGAACAAAACCTTCAGGCCATTCTTCATTTATCTCGAGTTCGATAGTTCCCGATCTCCCAATTTCGGGGAAATGGCACCAAAACCCCAAAATTTCCCCAGATCAAGGGAAATTCCCCAATATTTCCTAAAAATTCCCCCAGTCTTTTTACACTTTGGAGAAATCGGCTTATATTTAATAATAAAACCACAAAATGTTTTACAATTTCGGGGAAATTTTGCGTTTTCCCCCGAAATTTCCCCTTATTTTTGCGCTTTTCCCCTGAATTTTGCATTTTCCCTCCTAATTAGATACAGTATCAACAAAGTCTACACTCGTTGAATGCCTGTTAATCTATGGGATGATTCTGATTCAGAGGACAACCTGCCAGCTGAATGGGAACAAACTAATCAGGATAATTTCATTACTTACTACAAGTAAGTTGACTTACTTGACCGATTCACCAAATATTTCGAAATAATTATTTCTAAGTCTTAAGACTTCCTAAAATGCAATTGATTTGTCTTGTAAAATGATATAACTTCTTACATTGCATGCTACTTACGCCGTTAATGAGGAACAGTAAGGGTGTCTAATATAAAACCTATCCATCCAAAATAGGATTGCTTTTATACTTTGTGAGTTGCAAATTACGGAATTTGAGATTCTGCAGAATTTCACATGGGTTAATGAAATACGTCAGGAATTTCCTTTTCGTCCAAACAGTCATGACTTGACATTTTACTGAACCTCAAGTAAATTAAGACGAAAATTTCACTAATGAAGAACATTTAAGAGAAACTTGATAAATCGAATTGATGGTGATGAGGTAAAAATCATTATTATCACCTTGTATTAATTGGATTCCCAGTGTATTAGTCAAATATATGCTAATTAAGACGTGGTATATGATACACTTGAAGATATTCATTATTTCAACCTGCATAAGATAGTTAAATATACCCTGGTATAATATATTGTTTATTGTTGAATTAGTTGACTGTTTTGATCGTAAATTACGTATCAAAACTACGATTTACACTTTAATTGAATCTACTACAGTTAAAGTAATATTCTATTGAGTTTTTTTGGCTTTTGTGTATTTATTACAGATTTGTCAGATTCAGATTTGTGTGGTAAGGACAGAAGGCCTACAGCCTATGTTATTCCTTTTCTAGTATGCTTCTGTGAGTGTCCAGTCTTCTCTTGAAAGAGTCAATTGAAGGTGCGGACACCACTGCTTCAGGCAGCAGGTTCCAAGTATTGATGACTCGGTGTGAAAACCTGTATGCCACGGGTATTTTGTTCGTTCTTGGCTTTTCTACTCGCCTGTTATGTCCTCTGAGGTGTCCCGATCTAGTGGGAAGAAAAAGAGAATAAGTTAGGTCCGAAATCATGTCTCAATATTCTGTACATCAATATTAGATCTCCCCTCAGTCTGCGATAGGACAGAGTAAAGAGGTTCAGTTTTTCAAGCCGCTCTTTATATGATAAACCCCGAAGTTCCGGAATTGCACGCGTAGCTGCCCTCTGCACTTTTTCTAGTATGTCTGAGTCACCTTTTAAACAGGGGCTTGCAGCCTGAACACAGTTCTCTAACTTAGTTCTCACTAAGGATGTGTATAATGTGGTGAACATGGTAGTATCAAACTTAGTGAATGTCCTTTTTAAAGCCCAGAGGGTTCGAAACCCCTTAACTGCGACCTCCCGGCAATGGGCCGTCGTCTTAAGATCATTGCTCACTGTCACCCCTAGATCCTTATGAGACCGGACTACGGGCAATGACACATCCCCTATGTTGTATGTATTAACCTTTGAATCCCCTAAGTGCATGTAGACACACTTTTCCGAGTTGACAGGCATCAGCCACTCTTTAGACCAGTTTATCATATTATTTAAGTCCGCCTGAAGAGTAAATGCGTCTTTGTCTCCAGTTATTACTCGCCAAATTTTTACATCGTCAGCGTATAATAACATTGGAGACTGTACTATACTTGTAAGATCATTAACGTACAATATAAAAAGTAAAGGACCTAGGACTGAACCTTGAGGTACCCCACTAAGTACTGGTCTCCAGGTGGAGCACTTGGAATTTATTCTTATTTTTTGCCTACGACCTACTAGGAAATCCTTAATCCATTTTAAAAGAGGTCCGGCAACACCAAGGTTTGCCAACTTCAATAGCAGTCTACTAGTTGGCACCTTGTCAAAAGCCTTACTGAAGTCTATGTAGACAACATCCACTGAGTTTCCGTTGTCTAGCGCATTTATCCAGAGCTCCCTAGCTATAAGGAGGTTCGTTGTACAGGATAGACCCTTTCTAAAACCATGTTGTGCCATGTTCAGCAAGTTATTTGTTTCCATAAATGCCGTTATGGTCCGTTTGATTATTCTTTCCAGTATTTTAATTACAACACTGGTGAGGCTTACGGGTCTGTAATTCGATGGAACTTGTCGTGGACCTGTTTTATGTATGGGAGTGACGATTGCGTCCTTCCAGTCCATAGGTAACACACCTTGGTCAAGTGACATTTTGAATATCACAGTCAGTGGGGCTGCGATATATTGGGCTATATGTCTCAAGATTTTAGGGTGTAGTTCATCTGGTCCTGTTGACTTTTCCATATTTAGGGTGATAAGAGCCTTAAGCACATCGTTTTGGTTGAAGTCCACGGTGAGCAGCTGGTTTGTTGACTCTGTAATTGGGTCCGGTTCTTTCTCTAGAGGAGGTTCCTGAGTGAAAACTGCCCCAAAATAGTCAGCCATAACCTCAGCTTTTTCCTGATCTTCCTCTATCAGTTCAGATTCACTTCCTACTTTAATTAGGTTGGGAATCCAATGATGAATCCTTGTTCTGTAGTTTATGTACGAAAATATCCTCTTGGGCTGCTTGAGTGCAGATTGTGCCAGCTGCATTTCAAATTTTCTTTGCTCTTCCCGAATTTTAGTAATACACTCGTTTCTTATCGATCTGTAACGTTCCAGCGTACCTGCTGTGCCAAGGCGGATGGCAACATCCCAGCATTTCTTCTTTTGTCTTAGTAAGCGTCGAATATCCCGCCCTATCCAGGGATGTCCGTGCTTCTTTTTCTTTGGGACAGTCCAGGGTATGTATGGTTGAGTTACCCGATTGTATAACTGCCTGAATAGAGTCCATGCCTCTTGTACTGATGCCTTTGAGTCAATTTCCCAGTTCTCAGCCGATGCTGCGGAGTTAATTGCCTGCATATCTGCCATTCGAAAGCATTCTTAATCTGTGTCAAAGTACTTTAGTTAAGGTTTAAAATCTTGCTAAAGTTTGTCTTATGGTAACCTTTTATTCGTTGACTGACATTTGTGTTCATACTGTCATCATATTGTGTGTTACACAATCTAACTAAAATGGTCGGTAGTACTCACAAATGTGGACAACCAAACTGTTTGTTCCCTGTAGAGGAAGGAATGCAGTGTGACGAATGCAATAAGTGGTTCCACAAAATGTGCACCCGTTTAAGTCCCACCGCATACAAAAGATGTTCGAAGCCTAACTCACATTGGCTTTGCATGTTTTGCTGTGCCAACAAGGCATTACTAATACGGGAGGCTATGAGCCGATTGGCTTTGGCCTGTAAGAAGGACGATGGCATATGCACTGACAATATGGGCACTGACAGTGACGAATGTGTCAGTGTAGTACCTGCTGTTACGCGACACCTCAAACAACCGACTCTGACCGACGTAAAAGTGAAATCTCCGTCGACATTAACAGGGGGAGTAGTACCACCTGGTACTGACATTGTTAATAATGCACCTTTAGTGGGAATTGAAGATCTGGATAAAACAGTCACCGTTCCAAATAGTCCGTGTTATGAGGGATGAAAAATGGACTACGGTACGTAGGAAATGAAACGAAAAAAAGCTGTAAGCAGTACACAGGTAGTAACTCACTGGTGGACTCAAATTGTGAGCCACAAATTGCACTACCAAGATCTGATGGTAAGAGTGAAACCCATCCTGGCGTGACAGAAGAAAAATCTAATAACATCGAATATTATTGTAAGCGAATTGCGGGAGTCAAACGACCCTGATCCCAAAAATTAGACACGCGCATGACTTAGAAAAGCTAGGAGAATACATTCGTAGTGTTTTACTAGATAACTCCAAAGGAGTCCAGGTCAAAAAAATTGGTAAGAATAGGCAAGAGGACCGAGGACAGTGTTGAACCCTGTCCATGCAGACTTTTTAAGGTAATCCTAAGATCGGAGAAGCAACGGGATCTCTTGTTAAGTAGCGCTCGTTGTCACGACAATTCTGGCACCCGAGTTAGATCTGACATGTCTCTCGAAGATAGAATAAAAAGGAAGAAAGCACTTGCTCAACTTGAAACCCGTCGGCCAAACGGCGAGGAAAATCTCCGGCTAGTGGGTTTTCGGATAGTCAGGTCTTGGAAGCGAATGCTACCAAGGCTTGTGAGGATAGGCTGTTCTACTTAGAAGTTTTATATGCCAACGCTCGTAGTCTACGAAATAAGTTCTATGAACTAGAAGCACTAGTGGACAGGTTAAAGCCACTCATATTAGCAGTGACAGAAACTTGGTTAGTCCATGACCTAGACATTACTCCAGAATTATCCGGATACCATTACATCAGGAGTGGTAGACATAGATGTAGAAAAGGAGGCGGCGTCCTGTTATATATAACCAATAGCATAAATATCCGCTCCTCTACTAGAGAATCCCATGATAGCGGCACTTGTGAAGTCATTAGCTGTAAGTTGGCTTTAGAATGTAGTACATTTATGCTAGGTGTAATCTATCGCAGCCCAATCTGCTTAGCTGATGACCTTATTTTACAGCACATTCATCTTTGGAGTGCAAACATCAGATGTTTGATAATAGGAGACTTTAATGCACCTGATATTGGTTGGACTGAGATGACCACGGAAGGATCTATAAACTCCTTTGATAGTAAGTTCCTGATAACAATAATGGAGCATGCACTAGTACAGCATGTATCCCAACCCACACATTTTGGTGTTAACCAGGGTTCTTCTCTGCTGGATTTGGTAATCACTCATGAGACTGAGGATATTGTCGACTTAAATATTCTCCCGCCGTTAGTGAACAGCGACCACGCTGTTTCGTCATTCACGTTTAGAGCTAGTGACATGATATACGATCAGGTTAAGCCTCGCCCAAATGTATGGAAAGCTAACATATCAGCCATTCAAGAGTGCGTTGCTGAGACATTTGACAACAGATACCAGCTCATTAGTTGAAGAAGCATGGTATATATTTAAAGGCAAGTTTACTTCAGTTACATCCTCGTTCATACCAATACCTGGTACCGCGAAGGCCAAATAACAGTCTACCATGAATAACTAAACCAGTCAGGAAACTTCTTAGAAAAAAGAAGAAGCACTGGAATATGTTCATCTCTACTGGCTTAGAACAATATAGATCCAGTTATTGTAAGATTAGGAATGCCTGTAAAGCGTTAATAAGCAAGACTAGAAGGTCATACGAAAAACAATTGGTTAGGGATTCTAGATATAGTCCGAAACGGTTATTCTCGTATATAAAAAGGCGAACTAAGAGAAGTGATGGAATTCCATCACTTTTGATACGAGAAAATCCGTTAATCTTAGCAGACAATGATGCCGAAAAAGCTGAAGCATTATCGGAATACTTTAGTAAAGTGTTTTCTATCGGTAATGAGGAACGACCAATGATTCGTTGCGACCGTGACGGCTCGCTGATGGATCCTGTAGTCATTGAGAAAGATACTGTTTTAAGGCTACTCCAGCATCTCAAACCTGATAAGTCCAGTGGTCCTGACGATATTCATCCTAGGATTATGAAAGCCATTTCACATGAAATTGCTGAACCATTAGCGATACTATTCGACATGTCTCTGAGACAGTCCAAACTGCCTAGAGACTGGAAAGACGCCATAATAAGTCCGGTGTATAAGGCTGGGGGTAGGGATTTAGTTAGTAACTATAGACCCGTTAGCTTAACTAGTGCAGTTGTAAAACTGATGGAGAAAATCATACGGATAGCTGTTATAAACTATGTTGAAGGGCGAAATCTTTTCTCCAGGACACAACATGGTTTTCGGAAAGGCCTATCTTGCTTGACAAATTTTCTAATTGCACGAGAAGATTGGGCTGCGGCAAAGGATCGGAATGCTCCTGTGGATGTGATTTTCATAGATCTAAGTAAAGCCTTTGATATGGTTTCCCACTCTGGTCTTAAATTCAAACTGGAACGTTTTGGAATCCATTATACAGTCGTCGATTGGATAAGTAACTTTCTCCATGACAGGAGACAAAGGGTAAGGGTTAATGGGGCTCTCTCGTGTGCACCTGTAAAAAGTGGGGTTCCCCAAGGTACAATCCTAGGTCCTCATCTCTTTTTATTTTATGTAAATGAATTGCCAACTGTAGCAAAATCATCAGTTCTACTCTTCGCTGATGACATAAAGATTTGGAGACCCATACATAGTATGTTGGATAGAATAGTATTACAGGACGATCTTAGCTCATTGGTGGCATGGTTAGACAGATGGTCACTAGAAGTAAATCCTAATAAGAGTGTAGTGATGCAGTTAAATAACTCTGATGAATCGTATGACTTTACACTACGTGGATTCGTGCTACCCAAAGCAAGAAACTATAAATATTTAGGAGTCATATTAAGCAATGATTTCAAAACGACTAGTCACTGTAAGGCTGCTGCTGCGAAAGGCTATAGGGTATTATGGTAAATTCGTAGGTCTTTCCAGTATTTAGATGATGAAATGTTTAGATTACTATACCCAATTTATGTGCGACCACATTTAGAATACGGGATTTAAGCATCGTGTCCTTGTTTCAAGTATGAAGCAGATATGCTGGAAAGAGTCCAACGATGATACTAAGATGGTAAAAGGTCTATCTGGCCTATCTTATGAAGACAGACTGAGACACCTTAACTTATTCCCGTTATCTTACCGTAGAATAAGGGGTGATCTAATATTGGCCTATCGTATTCTGAACGATGACCTTGGTATTAACATGTCTTATCTTTTGCTCCCGTCTAGAACCGATCATTTGAGTGGACATTCGAAGAAAGTTCAAAAACCGAGATCAAACCGTTTACGTCTGGAGTTCCGTTTCTCGCACCGAGTAGTGAATTACTGGAATTCTCTACCGGAACACGTAATATCAGCACCGTCTGTTAATATATTCAAAACGAGGTTGGACCTCCACAGTATTACAAACTGCAAGGATTAATATAGGTCGATAGACCTCCTATCCTTATTACTGAAGACTGAAATGTGTATTCCATGTTTTGTTTAGAAAAATCTTTTAGTTCTAGTCAATAAAAGATTTTACTTTCAATTTACTTTACAACTTTTGGCTGTAAACAGCATATGGATAATATTATGGTGGGAAGTCCCGATTCGTAAATATTTGCAATCCTAGATTCAAAATATAGAACAAACATTTTATTCTGCCTTCACGCCCAGCATGTACAGTGCTAACTGAAAATTGCCATTTCGGAAAATAAAAAGATCTTTCTAAATCCCACTTCCATCCAACGGAAATTTGACGATAGTTATGATAATTAACATCACATATTTATAACTCAGAAACTTTCTTTAAGTCAATGTACTTGATGAATAAAAGCTGATAATACTTCTGTTTATTTACACCTCATCAAACATAAGCAGACAAATGATAATAATGGGAGTAGTTCTGTTATTCCGATAAATGATTGGGATGTAAGGGGTTATTCACTACTCCACGATAAGAGCTAAAATGTTTACCATCGGAGTTAATTAAATTCAACTTTGTTATAAAATCTAAGTGTTGTTTCACGTGTAGTGTATTTATGTAAAAACTTGCAGGGTCAGTAAACTATCACTGAACCGCAACCAAACTAAATGTATTCTTCTCTACGTTAGGAAGTTGGTTACCGGTCTCTGAATTATTTTTACGAATCTTGTCTGTGAGCTAAATAAATTTTAAAACTAAGTAAAAATATGAAGTTTAAAATGGTCGTTTCCTGTGGTTCTCTTAAATCTATCTACAAAGAGTATGTTGACAAGAATACGATATTGGTAACAACTAATTGAGGTTAGGTTTACATTTTGAGGTTCATTATCAAAAGTTAAGCCATACACCAAGTATCAATACCTTACATATTTCAATAAAAGCCAATGTAGCACATTTAATCTTATTTGTTTATTTTGTGCAGCCGCTTGACTGGACTTTCTCAAAGGCCTCATCCAATTTCAGGCCATATTAAGCAATTACCACATGTGTTGCCCAAAGGTTGGTCTTCCTGCTCCGACAAATCTGGGAGAACAATTTATTTAAAGTAAGAATCTTTGCAGATGTTTTTTGAAGAGTAACCAACTTTTATTTGTAGCCAGATCAATTTTTCTTCATTTAGTAACTCGGATTTAAGTTTTGTAAAACTAGTTGACCTAATTAATAAGTATGGGAAGAGTTGCATCCAGTATGCTATGAAATGGTAGCTCCTTAGTTTCTTATACCTTTAAAGATGTGAACTGGGATAAGAACGAGCTGAATGTGTTAATTGTATGTATCGTCTTCTGTTTTTCGGTTTTCGAGATTTGTCTAGTTCTATCTCTATTAGTTTTTATTTCATACTAACGTATGAAACAAAATAATCGGCCGACAGTTTCTTTGTATATAGGCATCTCTGATTGCAATGTTTTTATTTTTTTGACTAGTAGTTCTCTATAAAGCTGATTCAATAATCATTAGTCTTGGATACTATGCGAAAGTAATTGTTTCCCGATCCCTATAGGTATTGGGCAATACTCCGAGTTTTGGCATGAGAAGAGAAGAAAGCAATAAATTTATTGTAGTCTTCAAACATTGTCGTTTTTGTTTTGAGATGGAGATTTGTAGGTCATGAGAATGATTTTGGGTTACCATGCTTCCTTGTTCTATGTGGTTAGGTCGTGAAGTTCTAATCGTCTTTCTAGACAACGTAATCAGTACTGCTTCAGATAGAAACGAGCCACTGAGACTTCTCCACAAGTGACTAACAACATGTTTCGTTAAAATTGGCTTTTCTCAACACTTGTCTCCACCTTTATTTCGATTGCCTTTTCAGTTAACATAATTCTTGACCTAATGTCTGTTCATTATTTTTCCCGTTTGATTGATAAACTGAATTCACTCCAACATATTTGTTGATTGGTAATTGAATTATGTCCTAAGCTACAGAAGATTCTGTGGTCGTGATTCACCCGACCAGGATTCCAGAGCAGAGATACTTTGTGGCGTTCGACAGCTAGTTGCTGTTTACGGAGATGAAGATGAAAAAGCGAACCTCTTAGCCTGATCCTCTACTCCCCTTGTTTAGATACCTGTTGGGTACATCGAATTAGTCTGGTAGTAAATTTGTCTGGCTGGTTTAATTCTCCCTATCGAAACTTATCATTTTTGGCTTGTTTGATCTTTTTTAAACCATATATATACTAATAATCGATAAGCTCACATAATCTAAGCATGAATTTCTTTCCACAAACTAAGTGTTTAACGTGTCATATATTCCTTAATGATAATTCTTGATTGTAGTGATTACAATTAACGTACTATCCTTATTGTCAACTCTTTTTTCTTTGAAAAAGTTTAGAAACTGGCTGTTCAACTTATTCCGATCCTCGACTTGCTGCTGCTCTATTGACCCACTCTACAAAATCAATTAGAAGTACCCAATTTAAATTTGACAAATTCTCAAGTGTAAATGATGTAAGTTGGTTCTGGGAACAATGTGTGTAAACTCAGAGTGTAGACTCAGTCATAGTCATAATGTAGAGCATGGCATAAATTTGCGTTGGCTCAAGTTGCCATATTACAATACCATAACGAGACAAGATTAAGATCATGAATAGAAAGGAGTCTAAACAATTGTATTAATAATAATTATAAGGACTAAACATTGCGAATGTTATTCTAGAATGCTGAATGAAGAGTGTGGATGAAGAAATACTGGAACAAGAGATGTAGGGGAAGATTAAGAGTTAATGCATCTGCGTCACTGTGATCGATTCTGATTCATTCCACCTAGAAAACTTTAACCATGTAGTCTGTATTTACCAACATGGTTTAGAGCAACTGTGAAATCATAGACTGACATCTTGTTTTTAAATTGACGGTCCCTAGCTTTCATCTAACCTACACTTATACCAGCAAGCATCTCATTTTGAGGTGGTCCATCGTCACTCATACGTAATACCTGTCAGTCAATTAAAAGTTACTGGGCTGTCAACAGATTTGTCATCTTTACGTAAAACCCTATGCCAAACCTCAGCATCACTTACTCGGTCGTCCCACTGTATGTGAACATTGCTTCAAAGAAAGCCATAATCAAAAACTTACGGCTTACACATATCTCTCATAAATAATGTTTCATATCTGTATAGTAATACAGAGCGAAATGCTGCTCAATCTACGCTTTTCTTAATTTGGAGACAGGTACTTTATTTATTTGAACACATAAACAGTGGTAAAAGGGGCACTAAATACATATGCCCCACACAGTGAGTCCAGTAGTAGTTATTATGATTTGTATAAGGGCTGGAATACTTCCCAGGTGCCCAAACCGAAACAAATGGTTGTCTTAGGGGAACACACCTGGAGTCTTTGACCTGGAGGTCTAATACAAAAGACAGCGGAGCAACGCCAGGAGATGCAGTTCCATGGTAGCCAATGACCAACGATATGTTCATACGCCGTTTGTTCCCTCAGGATCATGGAGTCCATATACACCATTGGTTTGGAATCAGGGTTTCCCAACTCTCCTAGGTGGAACCTCCGTGTCCACCAACCCGGTTAAAGCACCGGACATTCGCTTTTAGTTCTCCTGATTTCGTAAACAACACTCTCGTCATGAGAATGAAGTGAATGGGACTTCCCTGGCAGTGGCTGTATACGTGTGGCCACGTGAGAGTATTTCGAGGGGGAGCGGACTTTCCCACTCTCGGTCGTAACAGGTTGTCTGGGAGCATTTTACCTACGTCACAAGTAACACATATTAACATAGGCCTTCTGAATCCGTGCTGAGGTTTCGTCAGATACCAACCCTCTTGGGCTGATGAGACTTCCAAGGTAAGTGAAGTGGTCAACACACCTAACTACTTCACTCCCTTTGTTAGTTTGGGCGTTGATGTAGACCAGGCAACATCGTAAACTTGCTTGCTTTGTTGTTCGAGGTGATCAGATGAATCTGAATTTGACCAGCATTTTTACAAAACAGAACCATCAGGTATTTATTCCGAGTTGATAAACGAATCTCATCGTAGATCAAGTGAAAGGTTCGGTTAAGAAAGTGTTACTTGCGGACGCACGTGTATGACGAAGTTAAACGAGAATTGAAATAGTCGACAACCCCAACTAATACCACTTGATATTATCAATTCTGATGACAATTCGCCACAAGCTCCGACCATACCAATGGTGTTTGAATAGAGAGTCTTTGGTGCTCCTTTAAGTGCCAAGAACTGTCACCGAACCGCTCAGTCAACGGTGTTGTGTGGTGTCTCAAGGTCGAGGATTACCACTCGAGAAGATCTGTAGTGTCAGTTGTCATGTCAAGTCCACATAGTTTATCTTAGCTTCAGGACAGGGCCATTTTTTCATTCTTGAGTTTTATTTTGACCTTATTAATTATTCGCTTATCAACCTTGATTGTTTTTATGTTACCATATGTGTGTGTATTGTTTATCGTACTCGTTACATGTCTTTAACTTATTTTTGTTTGACTATAAATATCGATCGACGCTTGATTAAATGGAGTTAGCTCATTCACCTCCATCGCGCATCAACCCGTTTCACTTCTCTCTCTCCTCTTCGCTCCATCCTTCTGATTGTCTGTCCAGGTAAATGAGTGTATGAAATAAACGTATTCAAACCTCATTCTCGTATCTGACTCATCTGATTGCTTTATTCACTGAAGCGATTTAAGTCTATGATTATATACGAGGATTGGCGACATGTATATTTCAATAGCAATCACTCATACGATCATAACAGGATCCGATTGGAGTCAGATTAAGGGCCACTAAAAATTCTTAGTGGACTCAAACAGGACTGGATAAAGCGGTTGTGATTATTTAAGACTTCACTATTTTCGACTAAGTTTGTTGTTAAAATGCTAGACTGTAGTTTGGTGATTTTTTTTATGAAACAATGATATTGGTTTGATAACCTAACCCCAGCTGCGTGTATATAGAAGTTGAATGGAGCGAGGAAATGTTTAGTGTGGTTGGTATTATTTAGATATTTCTTCACTAACCAGTTGGTACACCTCTCATTAACAGATGTCGTCCTAAATTTTTCGACTAATGGAATCGAATACTGTTTCAAGTTTATGTAGTATAACTATAATTGGACGTCGGCAAGTATGTGTATGATCGATACATCCACATTCAGGTTTGGAACCGGCCTAGTTTTCTCAGGTTTGCTATTTCATAACAGCAGCCTTGAACGAATATAGAGGCTTGTATCTAATTTCTCTATCAATCTGGCCGCTAAAATTTAACCACGACCTAGAAAGATCTACAGGGTTAATCTATAAAGTTACACTTCTCCCCCCCTCGTCTTAGATTAGCTGTAGCTTTTTCAAATTCAGGTATAAAGGGACTTATCTCAAACTCTCATTCTGGTTGTTTCGGAGTAGTAGGCAGCTGTAGTATAGTTGAATTGGTTTTTGAAATGCCTCGCCATTCGTTTGAACTGAAAGTCGTGGTCTTATCTTTTTCAAAGGTAGTTTCACTTGCACTTAACTACTCAATACCTGTTTCTTTAGTAAGTCTAGAAAGTTGCCTAGTATTACCTGACACTACAGCCGTTTACATCTCTTCTGCTTAACTTTCCCACCACTACTCACGGCCATTGGGTAAACCTTTTTATGCTTACGTTTGAGTTTTGGTTGCTCTTCATTGTTCTTTAGGTTTGAAGGGATGAGTTTCTGAGTATTTATTTACTCAGTAGATGCAAACAAAACCCACTGGTCCTTCTTAACCTTTTGATTTGAATTGGTGGCGGATATCACTGCCTTTTTATAATTGCTTACATATCATGACAAACTTCAGGATGAAGTTCAACTACTTACTTTATTAATCCCTCTGTGAATTGGTACATAATGGATCTTCCTGTTATGAATTTTGTGTCCAGTTAAATTCGTAGAACATAGTCGGAGTCGAATCATATGCTCGAGAAGGGGTAACGGCCTTTCATCGAGCTTCTAGCAATGTCTGGTGACGATTTGGTCTAATTATGATCATTTTTGTATTGATGTTAGAGGTTGCTAAGTTAAATGGTGTCCTTTTTAACGCTTAAAGTTTGTACGTTATAGGAATAACCGGTTGTTCGAAATTCGTTGCGAAATACAGTCGCCGTTGTTTGACTTCGCCTATCACTTGATTGTTAAAATAAACTGCTACGGGCACCTGAAAGTCAAAACGCTTTCTGTAAACCTTATCTTTTGCTCTTCTCGAGATAAAGATTGATAAAGCAAACAAAAGAAATACTAGTTAATAAAGAAGACTGATTCTATGGTAGATGATCTAGATTTATGTTTGAGTGTAAGTGGAGTTGTCACTTCCCGGTCCCCCACATAGTGGAAGGCTACTTCTTCGTGAGATACCTGAAGAGGAAACTGAGTTAGGGGTGGTCTTGACTACCTGGGAGCTTGGTTGCAGTGCCCAACGGAGAACTGTTCAGAATGTATGGCGCGAAAATATCGAATTTTCGGGTATCGACCCCGTCTCAGTACTCTATCGAAATTTTTAAATAAACTGTCGCATTAATAGTCTAGTAGAATGACTGCCTCTTCATTTATCTTTTCTTAGAATGACCTGACCGATCAAAGTTAACGTTTTTCCCCTGAGATATCAGGACTGAAGAGAGGTACCAAAGATCTTGTCCATATTTTTTGACACTACCTACATATATTAAATAAGAGCCAGTATTGTTGGAGTTAACTATATAGTTTTAACTAAAAGTGACGAGTTATTGTTATGTTTGCTGGATCAATATAATAATGAATAAGATTTCAAGGCGACCAAACTAAACCAAGATATTAGACTCCAAACGCATAGTTCGCTCCATACCGCTTTGAAGAAGTGAAAGGCATTTATTAAAAATTATTGATAACTGTCTAGAATTGATGGGGTGGTGATTTGGCGTTCAACTAAGCGACTTTCGACCACGTTGTTGCCTGTCCTAGTCCTGCTGTAGCTACTTCAGTGTGGATACCCGGATGCGCCCCCAAATGCCCTGGTATGGCCGAGAGCGGGGTGCGTCCGCCCTTCCTCCCGAAATACTCTTACACGGCCACGCGTATATAGCCTCTGCCAGGGAAGCCCTACTCACTGCCTTCTCGTGACGGGGGTGTTGTTTACGAAAATGAGAGGACGAAAAGCGAATGTCCGGCGCTTTAACCGGATCCCAAACCAAATCATTGGTGCACATGGACTCCAGTATCCTGTGGGAACAAATGGCGTATGAACCAACTTTCGGTCACCGGGTACCATGGGACTGCATCTCCTTACGATGCTCCACTACCTTGTGGGTTAGACCTGTAGGTCAAAGGCTCGGGGTGTGGCCCCCTAAGATAACCATCCGCTTCAGTTTGGGCACCCAATCAGTATCTCATCCTGCACATAAAAACATGATAAACTGTCTACGTATGAAAAATATTCCTATCGCTCCAAATAACAATCAAGTGACTCGCATTATTATTATTATTATTTACTACGTCATTATTCACCCTCTTTTATTCCAACTCTGTTTATACTTATTTTTTCGAATTATACAGCAGCTCGTCTATGGTGGAAATTCGACTGTATCTAAACGTTCTCGAGTCACTCTCCGGTTGAAAATTGTATGTTACCACCGAATGTGAGTACTGAAGCAGTTTTTCTGAATCCACATGCACCATTCAAACTGGCTGCCTTCAACGTTCGCAAACTTATGCAGGTTGGACAACAGATAGGGCTGGCTATGTATTTAGAAAGTCTTAATCTAGATGTTTGCTGTCTATCCGAGACCCGTATTCAAGACTCTGGTGAAGTATTACAAATTCGCTCTCCATCTATCGCTTCAAAAAGCTGGTTTTACGTGCGCTTATCCGGGGACCCTGTGGCATCTTCGTCTGGTCTTGCTGGCATTGGTGTCGCACTAAGTGCTAGAGCTGAGATAGCACTAAGCGATTGGATCCCCATTAACAGTCCGTTATGTGCTGTTAGATTAGAAAGTTCCACCAAAGTGAGAAGAAATCGGCGTAAGAAACAATGTCTTTTCGTCATCTCCGCTTATGCCTCGACAGATTGCAGCCTGGATGTAATCAAGGATGAATTCTACCACCAGTTGTTAACTGTTCTCCAGAAAGTGTGTTCGACAGATATTGTAGTACTAGCCGGAGACTTGAATGCTCAGGTCGGGCGTCTAGGCACAGAATAGAGTCGTTTAGGTGGCCGATGGGGACTTGTTGGTCGCAGGACAGATAACGGGAACCGTCTACTTCAATTGTGCACAGACCACAAGCTGTTTCTGGCTAGCACTAACTTCCGGCACAGTCATCGCCGATGTGCCACCTAGCGTCCTCCCTCTGCATCTCAAGCCTGGACTCAGATTGATCACATCACGATCAGCTACCGCTGGCGTGGTTGTGTGCAAGACTGCCGCTCTTTTTGGAGTACCTATCTGGACTCTGACCATGCCTTGGTCTGCGCCAATCTTGCCTTACTTTTCAATGGCCAACGGATTGATGTTAGCAAGCTGGTTGCAACTTCTGTTGCAAGTAAGTATGGAACCGAGCTAGGTTCTAGGCTAGCTACTATTCCACCGAAAAGTATAGATGAGCATTGGTTGCAATTGCATGACGCCATGACAATGGCGGGTACAGTCAGTTGTGGGTTCACGAAAGGTCGTGCTTATAAGCACTGAGTTTGTTCAGGCTCCTTACAACTCATTGAAGTCCGTCGATCTACTCCGGGCGACCGTGAGTTTGACCACAAACGAAAGATCTTACGTAATGAAATTGGACAATGCTTGCGTAAGGACCAAGAAGTCTGGTGGTCGGAGCGTGCTAATGAGCTGGAAGTAGCAGCTGCATCTGGTAATTACCGGAAACTCTGCCAACTCATCCGAGCCACTGGCAGCAAGAAGTCTGATGTGAGTTAGACAATCTGCGAGGATGATGGGATGCCAATCACTAACATTCGTCGAAGTCTTGGACGATGGGCAGAATTCTTCGAAGGGCAGTTCAACTAGCCTGCTGCTCCGGCAACATCGGTCGGACTGTCCTGCCTTCCATGGCCGGTGACGATTGATTCACCAAACGAGGAGGAAGTCCGCAAAGAACTCCAACTTTTGAAGCGCTACAAATCACCTGGCCCAGATGACTTACCTCCGGCTTTTTTTAAAGATGGTGGTGACTTTCTGACTAAGGACCTGACGATGTTGTTTTCAAAGGTCTGGGAGCTCGAGAGTGTACCAACGTCATGGAATGAGTCGATAGTTGTCCCTATCTTTAAAAAGGGTTCACGTCGTTCCTGCAACAACTATCGGGGGATAAGTCTACTTCCGACTGCGTCCAAGCTATTGGCTTCCGTCATACTTCGTAGGTTGTTCAAAACCCGAGAAAGATTGACTCGCGAGGAGCAGGCTGGGTTTCGTTCTGGTCGAGGATGTATTGATCATATCTTCACCCTCCGCCAAATGTTAGAACACCGCCATACTTATCAAAGGCCAACAATCGTAGTGTTTCTTGACATCAGGGCTGCCTTCGATTCGTTGGACAGGACTGTTCTCTGGGATTGTCTATTGAAGAAGGGTGTGCCTGAGAAGTTTATTAACATCCTAAAAGCCCTATATACAAACACCTCAGGTAGAGTGAGGGCATACAACCACCTCTCTCCATTGTTCCATTCGAGCAGTGGGGTTAGACAGGGTTGCCCAATCTCACCAATCCTCTTCAACTTTGCCATCGATGACATTCTGGAAACAGCTCTGACGGATGTAAGTAATGGCGGTGTAGATCTGTTGCCTGGAGAAAGACTTCTCGACCTTGAGTATGCGGATGATATTGTATTACTGTACGAGAATGCCCAAGGCATTCAATCCTCACTTAATCAGTTGGCAATCAGTGTCCGTAAGTACGGTATGTGCTTTGCACCTTCGAAGTGCAAAGTACTTCTACAAGACTGGCAGGGTCCCATTCCTGTATTCACCCTGGATGGTGAGCAGATAGAAGTAGTCGAGAAGTTCGTGGGTCTGGGTAGCTGCATAAGTGCTGGTGGAGGTGTGAGTGGTGAGATCAATGCATGTATAGTGAAAGCCAGAGCGGCTTATGTCAATCTAGGCCGTCTTTGGCGCCTTTGTGATGTTAGTCTGGCTGTATAAGGTCGGATCTACAACGCGTCGGTGAGAGCAGTTCTGCTCTATGCTTGTGAAACCTGGCCTCTCCGAATTGAGAACATTAGACGACTCTCTGTGTTCGATCATCGCTGTCTCCGAAGGATTGCTGACATTCAGTGGCAACACCATGTTAGTAATGCAGAGGTTCGGCACCGTGTGTTCGGGCACAGAGACGATAATGCAATTGGTGTCACCATCTTGAAACACCGACTTCGGTAGCTTGGACATGTTCTACGAATGTCGTCCCAGAGAATTCCACGTCGTGCATTATTTGCCGACTCTGGGACTGGTTGGAAGAAGCGGAGAGGTGGTCAGTGCATGACATGGTATCGTGGGATGAAAGAAAGCTGCAAAGAACTGGCTTCTGTTGGCCCTTCACGACTCTCTGGTTGGGGTCCGAGAGATGGTGCTACACAGTGGCTGAAAACGTTATCAGATATGGCTCAGAATAGAAGCCAGTGGCGATCCTGCTGTCATCTTCTTTTACTTTCTTCATAAAAAGTGGTTTTGTCTTCCTTAACTGGAAGATTTCTTCTGATTGTACCTTTCCGTTCCCCCATTATTACCATTATTATTATTACACTACCCTACACCAATCTCTTCGTTATTATTCTCTTTTTTTACACTCCTTACCTTTTTTTCTTCCCTTTAAATTCTCATTGTTTTGTGTGGCGCATATATATTTGGCGCACTCTTCTACCAATATTTCTGTGTCCAAATAAATACGCGGATGCTATCAATAGCCATCGCACAGAAATTGGTTAAAATTCAAGTACATAGACCTTTACTTGGCAAATTGGTTTCATGTGTTAATAAAGCCACACTACAGTGACGTAATACTTGGTGTGAAATTGTACGAGAAAATAATAATTCTCACTCTATAACCTATACTTTAGGATTCGTTATCCAAATATAACAGTGAGTTTAGTATGAATATTTTTAAAAATTATTGATCGTTTTGTTTTCATGATAATTTGGGAATATTTTCTGTTGTTGTAGATTCTATTAAATAAAGATCTCCGTGGGTTTTACGTTGTTGTAACAAATTCAGGCTGTGGTCTTGGTTTATCAATCGCTGTTCATCTCGTCCAATATGGAGCTACTGTTATATGCGCTTGTACTAAGTGTCCAGAAAATGCTATTGCTGTATTTGACAAAACGAAGGCATATTATGAACGCAACATCACTGTAGACTTAACTTTGAAGTCAATTAATGAAGAATCAGGTCAACTATATTGGATACCGTATAATCCTTTGGAATTACATAGCATCGTACAATCCGTTCGTGTGAGTTGCCTCCAATTTATGTAAAATGGTCATTTATTCGATTAAAAATCTTCAGTCTTTCAAATATTCCGTATAGAGAAGGTCTAAGATGATAGACTTGTGTAGATAACAAAATGGTGAAGTAGTTACGACTGTTTACGACACTAACTACTAATGAAATTTCCTATCTTCGACCTACAGGGGTGGCTTGACTATAGAATACAGGCACACTAAAATGAAACCTTTAGATGCAACATTTCTATACAGATTTTCTGGATAACCATTACATCAATATTTTGATACTTTCTCATAATATTCATCTTTTAAATTCTGAAGTTAAATTATTAGTTGTTTTTATAAAGATTTGTTACGACTTAAAAGTAACTTTTATGAATAATCGATATCAGTTAATAAAAAAATAAAAGTCATTGATCACTAAAAAGCCAGTTTGTTCTTTTGTCTGACTTCACGACTCATTTCCTGAAGTTCTGTGTAGAATTCATGAGCTATACGGTTAACTAAATTGAATTTAAAGTGGTAATTCATACTGTGCTGCAAACTAACGGACATGAAAACCATTCATTCAAAACTCATTGGGTCAATAATATCACATGTTCTTTGTGAGATCTAATGGTGTTGAATTCGAACATATATGGACTCATGGTAGCACACCACTCAGACAAAACAGCTGTTCATTTTTTGCAGCAAATATCTGTTCATGGTAAAAATTACTCTCAGATAAAACTATATTTCACTTTTTTAGTGAGATATTTTTCTTTAAACTGTAGATATTACAGTCGTTGAACTGGCCTGTTCATGCGTGTATCATAACTGATGATTTGTTTCCTCCTTTCGCTGGATGGAATTTCTTTCAATCTTTCACAAGGTAACTGTTATTGTTGTTAGTCTAAGTTTTATTGTGGTCCATATAGTAGATTTTCAATGTAAAGCTATTTATCCATAGCTCATAATAACGATATAATTTCAGCAAACATTTATAACACTATCATTTCCTCGTAGTTCACTGATGCACATTTCGGCAGTTTTTTCATGTTCTATATTATCGCTGAATAACTGACTGAAATATACTTAAACGTAATACAGAATCTGTACAGTAAAGATTACCAGTAGCATTCGGTTTCGTAGTTCGAAGAGACTGGTCTATATTATAATGGGTTAGTAGTCAGTTCTTTAAATTTCAGTAGTCTTGGTAATACTCTTAATTAATTGCTAAGAATGTATTTTCATCGTTGATCTATGCTATAATAAAAGCTGTTTGCAGAAGAGATTTCAAATAAAATCTATTATTACAAAACATAAATTTCATAAATACTTTACTGTATAGCTTGCCCCCAAATGCCCTGGTACGACGGAGAGTGGGGAAAGTCCGCTCCCCCTCGAAATACTCTCACGTGGCCACACGTATACAGCCACTGCCAGGGAAGTCCCATTCACTTCATTCTCATGACGAGAGTGTTGTTTACGAAATCAGGAGAACTAAAAGCGAATGTCCGGTGCTTTAACCGGGTTGGTGGACACGGAGGTTCCACCTAGGAGAGTTGGGAAACCCTGATTCCAAACCAATGGTGTATATGAACTCCATGATCCTGAGGGAACAAACGGCGTATGAACATATCGTTGGTCATTGGCTACCATGGAACTGCATCTCCTGGCGTTGCTCCGCTGTCTTTTGTATTAGACCTCCAGGTCAAAGACTCCAGGTGTGTTCCCCTAAGACAACCATTTGTTTCGGTTTGGGCACCCGGGAAGTACCACAACCCCCACGCAACGCAAATGAGATTTGTTTTGGGCATATGTATTTAGTGCCCCTTGTACCTGGAAAGTAGTTGTCGTTTCCTTTATTTTTTTTGAATGATCATTAATTATTATGTCTAGTGAAAACGGTTTATTTAGGTGGTTTTCATTTTGTTCACACTGTTTTTAAAATAAACTTGCCTAATTCCTACTTCGTTTTGTATTTACTTTGATTGTAGGATAGTGTCTTGTTTGCGTGAAATGATTCCGTCTAAAGTTTCATCCTGGTTTCAATCTATTTTTAAGTTTGTAACAAACTTTGAAATACAAGTATTCAATTGGTTTGGGAAAAAGATAATTCCTGCATGGATTCCTGCTTATTCATGTGAGTGTTCCTCTAAACATTTTCCGTATTTAACTTCTGACGGATTTGAAGTATCAATGCAATGCAATTATTTAGCTCCTGCCTTGTTTTTGGAACGATTGTTAAAAGCAAGATTTGATTCTTTACCTTCTCTTTCAACTACTTCATCAGACAAAACATTTGACAGCTCAACTTTGCGTGTGGTGATAGTTTCATCAGAGATTCACAAGTAAGCTTCACTGTGAAATAATTTATAGATTTTTAATGTTTACTAACAAATAACGCTCGAGTTATTGGTGAACAGTTATAATAGAATAAGCTAACAATTGTTTACAGTAGCCTAGTTGTATATTTATATATCAGTGATCGTCCGCTACTGAACAGAAACCATGAAGGTAATTAAGAAATGCCACATTCATCAATAAAAATTAAATCTTTTTATATTTGTGGCTTACGTTATTTACATGATACCTGAGGTAGCATTCTTAGGTATGGTCCTTCGAATTGGTGATATTCTTCATTTCTTAACTCACTCAGCAGCTCGTTTGTAATGAAAATTCAATCTTGTCTTAAAGAACTCAGATGGCCGACTGGTCTAACTTTCAATGCCGCTAACTAATATGGCGTCTAAAATCTTGTGTGCTATCCAAAATGTCCAACTTCAACAACCGTACATCGGTGCAGATTGAACAACTGGTACGTTTGGCTATTTCTCGGGAAAGCCTACGCCTCGAGTGATTGCATCCAGGAAGCAGTCAAGAATAATTTGTGCTACCAGTTGAATGGTCTGAAGAAAGTATTTTCCGCAGATAACGTAGCACTAGCAGGGTATCTGAATCCATAGATCGGGCGTCTAAGCACAGATAGAAGTTTCTTGAGTGGCCAATGGGAACTCGTCGGTTTCACATCAGATAACAGTTACCGTCTTCTGAAGCCTTTCGCAGACTAATAAATTTCTGGTCAACACCAACTTTCTGTACAGTCTTCGCCAATGTACTACTTGGCGTCCTCCGTCTTCCTCTAAAGCCTAGATTAAGACCAATTACATCACGACCAGCTACCGCTGACATTATTTTTCACAAGACTGTGGCTTATTGTTGGAACGACTATCTAAACTTTAATCATGTTTTGATTTATGCCTGGTTAGGTTTTTGTGGCCCGCGAAATTCCTATCCTAAACGGGTTGATGTAAGCGAATTATCTGTGGCTTCCGCTGCAACCAAATGTCAAACTGAGCCTAGAATCAAGGCAAACCGCTAGTCCATCAAAAAATATACATGAGCATTGGCTTCGCTTACATAACACCATGGAAATGGCGGGTTACATTTCTTATGGCTTTGTTAAACGTCTTGTTTATAAGCATTGCGTTTACACAGGCTCTTCGGTTTACTCCGGCTAACTGTGCGTTTGACGATAAACGTAGATTCTTACTTAAGGAAATTGTGCAAAGTTTGTGATAAACTTGGTGAGTGGATCGTGCTGACGGGTTAAAAGCACCAGCTGGAGCTGGTAACTACTGGAAGCACCATCAACTCGTACGAACCGCTGGCAGCAGGTATTCTGGTGCGAGTGAAACAATATTTAAAGTTGATGGAACACCGATCAGTAACATACCGCAATGTCTTAGATGATGGACGGAGTTTTACAGAAAACAATATTGCTGGCATTGTATTTAGTGATAGCCAGGACAGCCCGTGCCAATGTGGGTCATGTTTGGTTCCATTGTGGTGTTAGTTTGGCTGTAAAATGTTGGGTTTTCAACGCTTTAGTAACAGCGATTTCGCTCTGTGTGAAACCTGGTCTTTACAAGATGTTAGGCAACTTTCTCAATTCGATCATTATTGTCTTGAAGGATCACTTGCATCCAGTGGCAACACTATGTTAGTGATGTTAAGATTCGAAATTGACTAATTCAGTCATTGTCACCAACTTGAAACACTGGCCACGGTTACTTGTAGACTTTTTAGGATCGTCATCCCAACAGCTCCCACTTCGTGCAATTATTTCCAGGTGAGAAAAGAGGTTAGTTGGCTAGATCATAACATGGAACTGTAATATGAAAGTTGTACAAGACTATCACCTTTCATTTTAACACATCTCCGTTGTGGTCCTGCAGATAGTGCAACTCCGGTTTTAAACGTTATCAGATGTAATTCAGAATGCGAATCAGTGGTGGCGATTTTGCTGTGGATTCCTTTTACATTCTTCATAAAAGTAAGAGAAACTATCTTACTTAAATTAATCCTTTCTAGTTGTTTTTTGTCTGAACTGTTTTCCATATCATACTACTACGGTCCACTTTTTATTTTACTCAGCCTCCTTCCTCTTCTATTTCTTTAAAATTTCATTTCCTTATTTGTGTAGCATATACTTATTATGATGCGCATTTGCATCAGTATTTATGAGTTTTAAATAAATAGTTGCAGTTTCTATCAGAAACTACTGTACGTCAATATATTTCTTTTATGAACTAATATAATTTAATTTGCACGCTTATGATACTTCTGAAAACTGGCCTACATGTTGTGATAATTAGTTTCTTAAGCTTAACTAAGTGACCAGACACATGTGTCGTAACCGGGCTCGTACGATCGGGGCTTCTATCATGAAATTAGTTGTATTATTAGTTAAGCTAGATCGGTTGTATGGGTCGGATGATCTTCCATTGACTAATGACTCAATAACCCTCTTTTGAACAATAATTCAATGACAGTAAGATAAATACCGAGATCAGTACTTAACTCCTATTGTTCTAGGGTGCAGCTTCCTCCGCTCTTCTGTCCGATAAACAGAATGAAACGAAAATCCGACAGACAGATGAACTTGTTGTACAGTTTAGTTCGTAACTCAAAATTCGTGTGACTATGCACACTGTTTGCTTGACTGCATAGCAGCATAAAAAGGAAAATACAATGTACATAGGGCTACACCATAAGTGAAATAGATCTAATTAATAATTCTGTAGTAAATTCACAGTAACCTAAGGAAGGCACAACACAGTACAGTGGATTATGAACCCGACAAGAACGTAAAAGCAGGGGAATATAAGAAAACAATAATTCAAGTGTCTAATACTTATCTGATAGAAAATATGCACTAATTCTCCGTGAGATATTTCCAAAAGTTGCAATATTCACCCCATTATAACAGAACAACAACTTCTGAAGTTTGGATGTTAACCAGGGATTTATTTATTTAAACACATAGATATTGGTACAAGGAGGCACCAAATACATATGCGCTACACAAATCTCATTCGATATGTATGAGGGCTGTGATACTGCCCGGGTGCCTAGGACAATATGAGTATTTGTAACAAAAATTAATCTTGAACAGTATAGTTTTTAGAAAGAGGCCCTTCAAAGCTAAATTATTCTTTTACTAAGTAAACCCATTATGTTGTTGGTGCGAAATTGTAAATATTCGGATGAAGCTTACTTAACAGCATTTATTTAAGTTGGAAGATGATGCACTGGTACGACGGAGAGTGGGGAAAGTCCGCTCCCCCTCGAAATACTCTCACGTGGCCACACGTATACAGCCACTGCCAGGGAAGTCCCATTCACTTCATTCTCATGACGAGAGTGTTGTTTACGAAATCAGGAGAACTAAAAGCGAATGTCCGGTGCTTTAACCGGGTTGGTGGACACGGAGGTTCCACCTAGGAGAGTTGGGAAACCCTGATTCCAAACCAATGGTGTATATGGACTCCATGATCCTGAGGGAACAAACGGCGTATGAACATATCGTTGGTCATTGGCTACCATGGAACTGCATCTCCTGGCGTTGCTCCGCTGTCTTTTGTATTAGACCTCCAGGTCAAAGACTCCAGGTGTGTTCCCCTAAGACAACCATTTGTTTCGGTTTGGGCACCCGGGACGTATTCCAGTCTTTATACAAATCGAATGATTTATGTGATGTATATCTATTTGGTGCTTCCTTGTACCAATGTTTGTGTGTAAATTTAAAAATAATTACAACATAGGATGACATTAGGTTATAAATTGTTCCTAAATATCGAAAAGGAGATTATAAGATGAAGTTAATGGATAATGAAGGAATAGTAAAATGAAAATAAGTTTTTAGATGAAGTGTTGTTGTTCTTGTGACGATTATTAGCAAAAGGCAATTGATTTCCGTAATAAAATTTGATCAACTATTCTGAAAAAAAGAATAGAAATTGATTATTGAGCACAGGAAATAAAAATAAGGTTGTGATTCACGATAAAATGAAACCAAACATGGTGTTCAACTTTGAATTGGAGAATTACTAACGTTTTTAGTTTGTATTTCCTTCGAGACACTTCTTTTGACTATGACTGACTTTGAAAAGTGTATCTGGTTGGGTAACGTGAATAGGGTTCACGAGGCGTTCTGTATATTATCTATTGATTGAGCTTGAGTAGTGCTAGAAGATCTCGCTAGTATCTGATTATGTGTCTTAAGAGCACCCGTCGTGTATTTTAGGACCACTGAGTGAGGACTGGGAAGGTTAGGTATGGGGTACTAGGTAAATACGGGAGATCGATTGGTTTTGTAGTGAATCTTCACCAACTGGTGGTTGGGACTTGTGTTATATATACCCAACCACCTCCTACCTTGATAGGTATGTTGTCTGGTGTAGGAATAGGTTGCAAGAAAGCTAGGGGCGGTCATATCAAAACAGTACTGGTCTATTAGGTCGTCAACAAATGTGATGAACCGTGTTGGCAAGTGTTAACTACCTGCTCGGAGTCTACGTGATCATTGCTACGAGTGATTAGATACTCTGAATAATATTGCTCAAAAATTAATTCTATTTGCAATGGTTCCTGTTATTTCGTTGTTGATATTTATGACTGGAATTCGATCAGTTTTAGTCATTCTGCGCGGATTGCCTCCATATAGCCATTATGACGCACGTTATTAAAGAAAGATGGAATATGAGTAGCACTGGGATCCAGGATGCTCGTTTTGCTCTATTTGGGACTCATCAGTTCGGTGTACCTGGATCCCAGGTTTGATATTATATCTATTGCATAAGTGACTGTCTGGAATCAGCAGCTTAGTGGATAACGCGTTGGCGTTTGAAGCAAGCGGTACTAGATTCAAGTCTCGTAATGAACATCAAATAAGGGTTGCACGTACACTTAACTGACGAGTCCCAAATCAGACAGGATAAGCGTCCTGGATTCCGCTGCTAGTCACACCCCATATATTCTATGGCTCAAAATCGTTTGCAATGGTGTAGGTGCATTCTTTCTTTAGATTCTGAGTTCATGAATTCAGCACAATTTTATATTTCAATGATTTGTAGTTTATTTTGTATCGTATCTCCGATGCATAATGTTTTCTATTACCACTAATACTGTTACTACCTCTACTACTCTGTTATTTGCCTTAACAGCTTCATACTACAGTGCTAATGGTTTATGGCAACGTGGACCGATGTACCTGTATACAAGGTTGTATGTTGGGTTTGACTGAGTGACTTACCATTCTTTCGATTTTCTAAAGTATCAAGGTCACCCATAATCCTAAAAATACCTACCCTTGTACATAATTTCGCGTTCGGAGTGCAGGTTCTCCTATGTTTCCGATTTCTATTTTGGTATAAAGACTAAGAGACTTCTAGGGACTAGAGAGTCCGCGTCTAAACGTCCAGATAAAAAGCTTATCAGCCATTGCATATTCAATTATGTCTTAGTATCCGTAACCTTGTTTGCCAGTCTGAACTCTATCATTTGACGCTTAATATTTTATTCAAATGAATTTATTTTTTAGAGAGAGTAATTTACAACACTGTATTAAAAAACTGAATGTAACAAAGATGTTTCAGACAACCCCAACATTTTTGCATGACAGTATGAGACAATATGCGAATTCCAAATTATGTATGTTATTATTTATTCGTGAATATCACCACCTTCTTCGTCGCTTTAGTGAAACAAGCACAACTTCATCCACTATACCTACAATATTTACTTGTACTGGATGTGATCCATTTGGTGTGTATTGCAGCAAACAATTTTTAATGAATCTTTATCACTGGTCTATCAAAAATCCGTTTCTTTTAGTACTACAAATAGTATACCTTTTATCAAGACCATTTGGTATGTCTTTGGTAAGTTGGAAACTTTTCAACTTTTAATTACTGTTTACTATTTAAATAGGTAGCAGGAATAAATGCACATGTTAATTCACATGATTAATTAATATTATAAATTCTGTTCATGTTCATAGTTTAACATTTCCATTAATCTGTTTAAGTTGAATGACTGCAGTTTATGATATATATGAGTGTGTTACGTACAAAATAATTCAGCTAGTAAAATTACCGACAATCCAGATTAAATCCTTGTACTTTACCCCATGTACCTACAGTTGATAATTTTGTTAGCCCTCATTATAGACGATATGTGCAAAAGTAAACACTTGGACTTCAAGGGATAGAAAATAAGTATGTGGTTTTACGAACCCTAATTTGGGTTTCTTTGACTATTTTAAAAAGGTCAAAATATTGAATTAGAAATCCCTGTAGCAGATATCAACTTGATTCTGGGATAAAAAAAATTGACAAACAGTGAAAATCACCGAAGGGTTATTTCTAGGGGATAAAATATCTATAGGATAATTCTATGAGCCCAACCTTCCAATTTGACACCCGAACAAATGTGTTTCAAATCGAGTAGTGACGTTACATACATAATAAGCCAATGTCATGTTATTGATGAAACCTCTAAGTCAACCTAGGATAGAAAATTTACTGCACACTCAACTATCAATGTACAATCTGATTCTTGATTTCCGAGCAACAAAAATTAAATAGGAAAAAACCGCTTAATAAGCTTCGATTTCCGTATGTTTGTGTTTGAGAGATCCAAAGCGTTTCTCGAAAAAGTCCAGAAGGGCCCTGAAAACTGGGAGAATTTTTATCCCATCAACGCTGAGTAAAAGTATCTCAGAATCATCTAAAGTGAAAAGTCACGTGTCACACTTCTTATCGGATGATTACCTATTCTGCTACTATGTTCAGTATAGTTCCAGAAGCTCAGGGTCATCTGAAATACTATAAATACCCTCAATTTTCCATAAGCTAGCCTTGAAGTAAAACTTTTTTCACACTTCACGCCGTTTCTCTCGTGTTCAAGTTGTTTATACTTAACGTGTGGTTTATTAGAAGAGCTTAGGAAACCGATTTAAGCGTTTAGTCGGAAGGAATGTTAGTTTGAATAAGCAACACAGCTAGTGTGTATTTATGTATATTCATAATCATTTAGCATAAATGGGGGTATAGACCTTTGTAAATAAATGGCTTACCTATTGTACGTCATTGATGCTATAAATCGACTGACCATACATTGACATGTGTTTCCCTACATCTTATCCAGTTTTTTCGTTCTGTCACCATTTATTGTAATCATTGTATAGCATAAACAAAAAGCCCTGTAAAACCAGCAGTGTAAAAAATATAACTAAAAAATGTTTTGTTCTTTCGTCTTATCTTTCGTTAGGATCAAGTGATTGCTAATCCTGTACTTTGTACTGTTCACAGAGTTGCAACTTTGCAACAACCGATAACTGCTCATTCTAAACTAATTCCATATTTTGATAAATGTCGACCTTCCACTACTTTATTAGATGATCTCCCACTTCTTGAGTTGGATTTTTTATCTAAAACTATATTTACCGATACCATGAGTATTTTTTGTAAATATGAATAATAAGAATGTAAATACGTAAAATCAGGACGACAACTTTTTCTCTCTTTCATGTTCATGTGTTCAAAATGTCTTGAATGTTGTGAGGCTATTATTCAATGTACCTTAACAACTTACATTCGAAAGTCATTTGATTTTTATTGTCGAATTCATTTTTCATTCCTTAAATTAAAATATGCATTGGTTAGTTTATCATATGTATTGATCTTGAACTTATTCAAAGTTTTAAAAAAAACCTTTATTACTATAAACAGTGAATGATTGGGATAGTGATAAACTCAAGACGCTACTGATTTATGGTGTACATGCACAAAAATGCCTAGAAAAATTGATGTTATGCAAAATGACAAGTAATTTGATCAACCAAACAAATGTTCTGACCATATCATTTGATGTAACTAACGAGTATAAGTCATCGCGAAGTTGGTTTTAATCACCAGTAGTAGCATTTGACTCAGTATTCAAAAGATACCAACCTAACCACAAGAAATTTGTTCCAATTTCCCGTAAAATGACACAAAACACCTCTCCAGTTCGCCTTAGCACTGTGATTTTACAGCCGATATCGTTTACCAATTAAAAATTGCATTCGAGTTCTACAAATCAGCGCTTTCTACCTTTGAAGGGTTAAGGTCGTTTTCTGATATATTGTTCTCTTATATCCAGTATCCTCATTCAGTTATCGGTAAATTTGCGGTTATAGTTTGCTGTTAAAATGGTGATTTCAAATTTGTCAGAGTTACAATACTTCATTTACATTTGACAAACTAAAACCGTCATTTTACTGGTGCATCGTTAGTGCTCAATAAGAACGTACCTAGCAGAATACTAATATTGCGTTGCGGCTATCGCTCTAGTATTTATTCATACTTGAAATCGGACGGTATTAATACTACTGTGATGGAATTGAACGATTTTACGGAGTCCTAATTATTTCAAAGATTATTTTCGCAAAGGACATATATAAGTTCCTAGACTTTTGGAAAGCATCGAACACTGGACAGTCGTTCTTTGGTACTGCTCAACAAGTCACTCCTACTTTATGTGTATTCAAACCGATGACATTCGAATGCAGTGAGAACATTGTTAGCATTAAATCGCCCATGATCGATGTCGACTTCTTAAATGTCTACAGCTAAATTTATTATGTTACCTGGTATATTTCTCGACCATATAGGTACGATATATTGATCTAAACGAAATAGTGAGTAAGCAAAACAAACAATTTTGTTGGTTTTCCTCAAATCAACCATTTATTCCAAATATTTATAGCAGAAACCTTAACTTCCCTATCGGTTGAATTTCTCAGTGACTACTTAGCTGTTTTATTTTCTATGATATTTCAGGAGTTACTGTTTTTTTATTGCTTTCATATTCTGTCCAGTATTTTTTTGAGTGAATAGAAAATCAAATATTAGGTTGTACTATTCTCAATTTTATAGATAAAGGATTTTGTTGAAGGGTCTTTTCTTAGCCGTATGTTCGGACTAAAGTGACGTAAACGAGATTGTTGCGTACATATATATGCTAGTTGGTACCTCTTGGTTTAGAGTCCCCTAACTTGTATCTACTGACCATAAAAACCTTCACTAAATTCTTAAATTTCGGTGAGTCACTAATTTTGTTTGAAGTTATGGTTTCAGGAATCGCATTTTCTGCGTATTTTATACTATCTATAGATTCAGACCCTATAATCAAGATATTTAGTCTACAGACGGCTTCCGATTGTTATGAAATATTGTTGTCCTTGATAATTGCGTTGTACGTTATTGTGCGCTTTATTCTGATTACTAAGTAATATCTTCGTGGTTCTATTTCATAATCAAATAGTATCCCATTCGTGACTGGTAAAGCATATTTGAACAGATCCAGAGATTGCTGGTGCGTACATTAGGTTCAATACAATAACAACTACTACTTATCACAGTTGGTGTCACGATGGAGGACACTAATTCAAGAGGGAAAGTATTTTGGGATTAAATGGAACGAAATTTGGTTTGGAAAACGTACAACTTGCCATAAATACCTACATCCAAGTGTTCAAAATTTCCATAACGGTACATTCGAATAAAACCAGTATTTGTTAAAAAGCCAAATTTAATAATCGCCTTGCAGAGTTTGTCACAGTATTAAAAGTAGACTTTCAACATGTTCGATCAGTTCATATCGAAATAAATGGCACAAATATACTCAATTTTACTGAATCAAGGAGGAAGTTCTTAGTATCACGCTCTGTTTGCCCTATTAAAGAAGTGGTCATTAATTAGTTAAACTGGGTTACCGTATACTACAATCGTGTGACGTTAATACCGGCTAAATTCCCTACTTATATTTGGAAAATGTTGTTTCGAAATGATTAGTTTTAAGAGCCCAGTATTTCAGTCACAATAGACGGTTTTGGTAAGATAAACGAATTTGTTACTGTTAAAATGATTTTGATCAGGAGTTAAAAATACTTCTACAGGCAACTGACCGAACAAATAAATGTAGATCATCTAAGAACGCCTTCCCAGCATTTTGCAGCTGAAAATGTAACCGGCTTATTGTGTTGCAATCTATAGCTACTAAACACATCTCTTTACAGTGTGATTCAACCTGATATTCTACTTTTGATAATCTTGACGAAATTGTACATATCCTATCGGTTGTTCGGTCAGTGATTCTTGTCAATTAGGAACCAAACAAGTATGACTTCCAAGCTACCTGACACGTGATCATGGAATTAGTAACACTTTTTCATTTGTTATCATTTTGCAATAACCTCGTGATTATCGTTAGCTAGCTTTATTGTGTACCCGATCTTCACAGTACAAAAGTGCTTCACATTACCAGTTGAGTATGTCTAAATACTTCGTTATTAGTTAATCGCGTACATAAGGACCAGTAAAATCTTGAGCATAAATATTGCTGACAGATTATAGACAACTCTTCCGTACAGTTTGTATCATTTACAGTTACTATCCGAATGTTTTCTACACTGTTTACTAATCATAAACCAGAACAACTTTTGATGTCATGTAGAATTTCGATGTTTTCCTGTTTATTTTGACCAGTCTAGTTGTAACAAGAGTAATGCTGCTATATGAGTGGGATCCATCTCAAAATCTGGGATTCGGAATTCGAATGTAATCATAGATAATGGCAGTATGTTAATGGTTTATACAACTCAGAAACTGAGCAGTGTATGTCATTAGACCTTGCGTTTAGATAGCTGACTAGCCACTCGGGGTAAAAGACGTAGGAGCAAAAGCGATTTGCCTGAAGAGTTGATAAAATGGCTATCTATTACGCTTCCTAAAACGCTTGAAAACCGCCGCATATGGTGTAAGTTGTTTCTTTAGTTAACAAATGATGGGACTGCAAGTATGGAGACAATTGGTGTCCTTATATGTGGTACATGTCTTGCATGGGGAAGCCAAAGTATTTTATTACTACCAGAGACATAAATCTCTACCAATTTCTGCCAGCAAACGTCACGATGTAGCTGGAGAGTCTGTGGGGATATAAACACAAAACAATAAAAAGTCGGTCTGGACCTTCGGTAAACTATTGTGTAGATTTACGTTCGAATATATGCTTCACAGATGCCTGTGAAATCCGACGTTTCAGCTAAAAATGTTCACCACCAGTCTTTATTCGATCTTACTTCATGTACAGTGAAGGCAAGATGGATTAGTAACTTTTGGAAAACTGATATATACATACTATGGCAAAAAAATTACAGCCTCTAAAATCGAGTGTTAGTTCACATCTTTTCAATAATTAACTTGCATGGTTAGTTGGGTAATATTGATGCTAACTGGGACTTCTGCGAATTTGATAGGTAATCTGGAAAAACGATCTGAAATTCAACTATCATATCACCAAGGCGACTGGGTTCCTTTAGAAAAGGAAGACCTTGATGTGGAATACGTCTGGTTGTCCCAGGTTTGATAATTTCAGTGAGTTGGATGTTTATTTGTCCTTCATCGATTGTTGGTATTGAGATAGTACCCCCACAAAGAGCTTGTTTTAGGCTAATTTTAGCCACATAACGTACATCGCTACCTTCACGCTTGAAATGTTTGTGTGTTCGATCTTTAACAACGAAAACAACGTCGGCAGGAACATTGCCTTTAATGCTCTCATCACCTTCCCGAGGGAATGTGATCTTTGTACCAGCTTTCCAACCTTTTTTAACTTCGATTTCAACCGTCTTTTCTTCCTGACGAGTGGTTTGTCTGTCCGGATTTAAACGAGCTCTCGTAATACGAATCTTCTTAGTCGTCCCATGAAGAACGTCTTGAAGTGAAACTGACAAGTCATGATAAATTGGAGGATCCTGTTGAGGTTTTCGACCGCCTGTCGTGCTGACATTTCTAGTTTCAAAGAAACCCTAATGAAAAGACGTACGTAAAAAATGAAGCAATAGAATTTACAGGTCACTTAAAAATGTATAAAGACTTATAGACACGAGAAAAAAAATGTTACCACTCCTCGAGTCAAGGCTTTTCAATCTGAGCTCCAACCACTGGGTCGCAAGTGCATGAGACTGTCAGGTTCTTTTTCGTGAGTATCGCCATTTATTCGGTGGACAACTGCCTGCACCGTGTCAACCACACCAAACATTTCCTCAGTTCACTCAACTTTGATACACACGTAGCTTGGGTTATCTAACCAACATCATTGTTTCATGACACAATTCACCAAACTACATTCTAGTATTTCAGCAAAAACCCAGTTGGGAATAGAATGCTGTCCCAAATAATGACAATCACTTTATCTAGTCCTGTTTGAATCCACTAAGGATTTTCTCTAACGGTAATCCTTGACATTAAGACACCATACAACTCCGTTGACTGAGCGGTTTGGTGACAGTTCTTGACACTTAAAGGAGCACCAAAGACTCTCTATTCAAACACCATTGGTATGGTCGGAGCTTGTGGCGAATTGTCATCAGAATTGATAATATCAAGTGGTATTAGTTGGGGTTGTCGACTATTTCAATTCTCGTTTAGCTTCGTCATACACGTGCTTCCGCAAGTAACACTTTCTTAACCGAACCTTTCACTTGATCTACGATGAGATTCGTTTATCAACTCGGAATAAATACCTGATGGTTCTGTTTTGTAAAAATGCTGGTCAAATTCAGATTCATCTGATCACCTCGAACAACAAAGCGAGCAAGTTTACGATGTTGCCTGGTCTACATCAACGCCCAAACTAATAAAGGGAGTGAAGTAGTTAGGTGTGTTGACCACTTCACTGACGAAGATTATTAGTCACCCACTAAAGCACTAGAGATCATTTATCGTTAGTTTATAACAAACGTGAAAAGTCACCATCACTACTTTGAACAGTGTGTCCAAAGATAAATCTCAGATAGACCGTTTCGAATGTTGCATACGAAGAAAGCATTAATTATAACACTTTTTTGAGCTCATTGTGTCCAAAAGCATGTTTTGATTGTAAATGAGGTTATTGGTCACATAAGTAATAACATATGAGCTTCAAACCATCGACCGTAACGATAAAAACGCTTACCAAAAAGTATACCGTCAATGTGATCAGCATTGGTTAGAAATTTTATGGATTTCAGGTCTTATTTTTATATGGCAGATAATCTTGTGGATTTTTTAGTCACTTGTGCATAATCAAAAGATCTTTAAATGTAACCAGTCAACACAAAATTAAGGCAAATTCTGACAAATCTCAATGTCAATGAATATACAAATAATTCCTTATCGTGCTAAATATCCTATATTGGTAGCAAATAGATTAAATACCTTAATGATTCATAAAAAACTGTGAGCCTTATGCATGAATGCCTTGAAACAAGCAAATTAAAACTCAAATAATAGAACAAAATTAAATCCAATAAGACGGGATTGATCGTTCAGTTTCCCCAACTTTACTTAGTTGTCCAATAAACAATGCAGACTGTTAATTATTCCCTAAAATACTATATTACGGATTATGGCAACAAAATCTACTCTTATGACTTCGTTAATGGACAGCGAGCAGTCTAAAGTTACTTAAAGGGTGTCTATTTTCGTAGATAAAAGCTCGGACTGGCCTGGAAAATATGGATTCCTATTTGTAACCCTAAGATGCTTATTTCATTACCAATCTGGAAAATGAAAGGTTATAAAAATCGTGGACTTTACATGAGTTTATACAATATAAACTAACGAAAATAAACGACAATCTATGTAGCTGATTATTAGTGCAACTTACTCCGAAAGGTGTACTACCAAAGAAATCATCGACGTTCATAGGCTCTCCTACGGTACTACGCCTACCCCCTGACGTAAAAAAACCCGAGAAAGGGTCATCCGTGCCGAAGAACATCCTAAATGTTTCTCGTGGGTCACCATGGAAAGTATATGTGTAGCCTTGTCCACCTTCGCTCGAAGTGGGTCCACCCTTCAGTCCCTCCTCACCATATTTGTCATATATTTCTTTCTTCTTCGGATCGGATAAAACCTAATACGAGAAACCCATTGGGAAAAAAACACTTACGTCGTACGCTTCCGCAATCTCTTTGAACTTCTCCTCTGCATTTGGAGACTTGTTCTTATCAGGGTGATATTTTAGCGCTTGTTTTCTATAAGCTTTCTTTATTTCATCGTCATTTGCACCTTTAGATATACCAAGAATCTTATAATAGTCCTTCCCCATCGTTGATGATTCGCGAAGTTTCTAAATTCCCAGTGACCTACGTGAAAGTTAGTATAAACAATTCAACC